GGGGGGGGCGGGGGGGCGGTGGCGGGGCGCGGGGGCCGGGAGGCGGGGGGAGGGGAGAGGGAAGCGAGGCGAAAAATAACCGAGGAAGCAATCCAGGCAATCCCCAGTCCACCCACTCCGGGGGAAAAAAAAAGAAAAGGAAAAAAAGCACTTAAAAAAAAAAAAAAGCCCAACGCACACCCCCTTTAAGACGCGAACGGTTTGCAAAGGACGCCCCCCCCGGCTCGCAGTGGAAGCTTCAAATTCCTCCCAGGTCCGGGTCAGGCTGGCATCTTGCAAAAAGAGTGCGCTCGGCTCATTAAAAAAAAAAAAAAAAAATCAGGTCTGTGCTGGAGGGAGAACAAAAAAAAAGAAAGAAAGAAAAAAAAATCCCCCCTTCTGTTTGGTTTGAGTTCCTAGACCTCAAAAATGCTGAAAGATCTGTAGCCCCCAAAAGAAAAGAAAAGAAAAAGAAAGAATATGAACAGGGAAGGAAAGAGGGGGAGGGGGAGGGAAACGCTCCGGAGAGCTCTTAAGGAGTCTTCAAGCCCCAAGGTCCTGGTTTTTCTTTTTTTTTTTTTTCTTCCTGAATCACCGGCGGCTGCTCTTCTCACGGAGGAGTGTGTGCCTGCGTGTGTGAGTGTGAGTGTGTATGCCTGCGAGTGCGTGTGCCTGTGTGTGTGTGCCTGTGTGTGTGTGTCTGTGTGTGTGCCTGTGTGTGTGTGCGTGTGCCTGTCTGTATGTGCGTGTGTGTGTGCACGCCTGTGTGTGCCTGTGAGTGTCCGTGTGTGTGTGCACGCGCCTGTTTGTGCCTGTGTGTGTGCGTGTATGTGTGTACCTGTGTGTGCGCCTGTGTGTGCGTGTGTGTGTGTGCGTGTGTGTGCGTGTATGTGTGTGCCTGTGTGTGTGTGCCTGTGTATGTGTGTGTCTGTGTGTGCGCCTGTGTGTGTGTGTGTGCGTGTATGTGTGTGCCTGTGTGTGTGCCTGTGTGTATGTGTGTGTGCGCGCGCGCGCGCAGCGCCTCACTCAACCATGCCTCATCTTGGGGTTACACTGCAGCAATGAAATCCTGAAAATTCCCAACAGGGGGAAAAAGAGGGGGGGGAGGGAGAGAGGTATGCGCGGTTCGCTGAGACACTCGGTAGCTGCTCCTGGATGCTGCAACGCCTGACATCCCCTCCCCCCAGGTCTCCTCCTCCGCCTTCCCTAGGTTTTGCTAAAATAAGGCTGGTGTGAAGGGGTTACGGGAAAAGGAACGAAGGGGGGAAATTGGGCGCAAAGGTCTGAACCACGGGCCAGCGAAGCTCTCAAGAGGGGCGATTGATGAGTTTAACGGCAGAATGACCCACCCAGAGTGTCGACACATGACCGCCCGCGACCAATGGCGGAGGCGCGGGGGTCCGTGCTCAGCAGAGTTTGTGGGGGAGAGAGGGGAGAACCGGATGGTCGGGATGCAGGGGGGATTTGGGACTGAGCCCTCCTCCCCTGGGAGGAAGCCCTGTTTTCCACCCGGCTCCATTTCGGTTGCAGGCAACCGGACGCTCCCAGCATCCTGCAAGGAGAGGGTTGGAGGAGGAAGAAACTTAGAGGTAGAAAAAGGAGATTCGTGTTTAGACGTGCGATTAGTCAGTCTCTACACAAATTTGGTCTGTTTAGCAAAAGACCATTTTTGAAAGCTGGGAGAATGGCTTGGGGTTACTTCTGTGAAAATTTCAAGTCACAGGGACCCTGCAAGCTGGAATAAAGGGTTTCCCCCCATCTTTGAGATCCCAGAGTTGGCAAATCTGAACTACCAGGAGCAAATAACTAAACAGGTCCTAGTTAGCTGGATAAGGCTTCTAGGTGGTATGTATTTTGCATGGTGCTCATCTCTGTCCAGAACCACTTCGATTATTTTCCATTCTGCTTTTTTATATTGTGAAATTCAATAAACACAGAGAAAAATGCATAAAACACGCCCCTTTCTCCCAGCAATAACCACTACCCAACTTTATGGTATTAATGTCCTTACTTTTCTTTACAGTTTTACTATCTTATTATGCATTCCTAAGCAATAAAGTTTTGCTTCACTTTTCTACTTTTTTTTTTTTCACTTTTATGTAAAAGGAATCATATGGTGTCTATTTTGCAGTGTCTGGTTTCTTTTCTTGGGTTTAACATTATGTTTTTAAGACTCCTCTGTGTCACTCATACCTGTGGTTGGCTCACTTTCCCTGCCGTGTACTATTCCACTGAAAGAGTATTCCACAATTTGTTTATCTATTACCCTGCTGATGGACATCAGGGTTGCTTCCAGTTGGGACTATTAATCATTACTGCCTCGAATACACTTAGTGCATATAAGCAGGTATGTCTGTAGGAATAGCCCTAGGCATAGAATTTCTGGGTTCACAGGAAATTGTATCTTCAGGCTGATGTCACCAGACTGTCTTCTAAAGTGGATGTACCAAGAAACCATTGAATTTGCACTAAGCATGTATAGACTGAAGGGAGGGGGAGGGGGCAGGGGAAGAGGATGTAGAAGGCAAGTATTTTTTCAAGCCTTAGCTAGTTGTATTCTAGTTAACCTCTCCCCAATCAGTGTTTGAGTTCATTTGGAACATTCTGGAAAGATGATATGTCTTTATATACATTCCCCATTCTGCACCTATGGGCCAGTTTTGACAGGTTGCCTACAGCACCTTTGAGATTTTCTAACTTGTCAAGATATGGGCAAAATGATTAAACCAAGAGTGACAGGATCAAGGAGATTAGGTAGGTGGGATTCTTGGGGAGGGGGGCTCTCAAAGCACTCACCAAATATCAATGACTTCTGTACTTCATATTATTTTGCATCTCAAAAGTAAACTATAGTTAATATGAAAGAAGAAGCAATCCCATGTGCATGGATGCAAAGAGCCAGTCATGAGAAGGCTGTTTTGTGTGAAGTGAACTTATCGCTTGTTTTGATGGGCCTTCCTGAGAAGATTGTTGAGTTTTCTAGTATGAGCACTGCCTGCAGAGATTTCTAAAGACTCCAGAGTTTCTCAGGAAAGTGTGACATCTCATTGATTGAATCCCTACCAGGGTAAATCTTCCACTGACTCTTCACAGCAGCCCCATTTCACAGATGCAAACACTGAGGCTGAAAGAAGTCTAAAAACTTTCCCGGGTCGTTGACATGGATCTGAAATCAACTTCTGACTCTCGTATTCTGTTGGGCAGAGTATAACTTGTTCCAACCACTTTGAAAAACTGGCTGCTTCTACCAATGCTGAACATTGAATATCCTAGGACCCAGCAATGCCACTCCTAGATATATATGCAGGAAGAGTGAGATATATGTCCACTGAAAGACATGCCCTAGAATGTGTTGCACTAGTCATACTATCTAAAAATTTGAAAGTTCCCAAATAGCAGAATGGATAAGCTCAGTGAAACATGGAGCTTTCTGCAGCAAATGAGAATGAACGATCTGCAGCTACACAGAAGTACCTGGGCGAATCTCACAAACATGATGCTGAACTAAAGAAGCCAGACATAGAATAGAACATGGTGCATGATTCCTGTTATATACAGTTCAAGAATGGGCAAAATTAAGCTGTACCTGTAGAAGTCAAAGTAGTGGTCACCTTGAGAGTAGAAGAGTGACCGCCATGAAGGGAACCTCTGGAAATTTTTTGATCTGGGTGGTAATTGCACAGCTGTATTCACTTTGTAAATTTTATTTATCTCTTAAATTTTTCATTCAGCTGTACATGATTGATTCGTGCAGTTTTATGTGTGTTATACTTCAATAAAAATTTTTGTAATGCTGCTGAATATACAGCCCAGGTGGCACCACTTGTCATGGTGATTTGTAATAATTCTCTTTGTGTACTTTGACCATGGAGTCCCTACAACAAACTCAGGCCTCCTTTTTGTGAGAGGACAAAGAATAGTCCTCCAGGATGCCCTAACCCA